CATCTTGACCTCAGGTCATCTCTCATTGGTCAAATATCGGACATGACCCAACACAATGCCCTGGACGAGACAACATTTCAGGTACGCCGTGCTCCAGGAGACAGTCACCCCACCCTAAAAATTTGTCCAACTTTGCGGTAATCACTGTATTGGTTGTTGAGTATCTAAATAACTTTGTTAGCGAGGATGGAAAGAGCTAAACAAAATATCTGTTGGAAGCCCACGTCTTTCTGTAATGTTCATATAAAGTTTCCCGCCTGAACTTTGAATAAAATATATAGGCCTACTAGTAGCCCATCATAGGACATTCATTGCCGCGGCGGACACTTGAAACCTGACCATTATTTTGAACTACAAAGGCTATACTGGCACAACAGGTAATTGTTGAGTTAAGTATAGTCATTAAAAGACACAATGATAATCACTTCTGTGATATAACATTGAGAAGTTTCGCAACGGTCATTTGGTCTCAATGAGCACCTCTCACGATGGTTTATTGAGTCATGGGTTCACAAAAGTACAACATCTGTGTAACTTTTCATAGAGTAGTGTCCTTTCATGTTTTTCTTCCCTATTGCAGACCACCTGCAGTCAAGGGCATCGGTCAAATTTAGATGCAATTTTGGGCAATAGTTTTGGCGGGAATTGAGGCGTAAAGTCAGGTCATAAATTACATGGGCCAATCCGGTCGTCCGGTCAGTTGGAAACCATTGTTTAATTGGTTGCGTAAGTATCCTTCGTGCGGAAATTCGCGAGGTGATCCGAACGAGTGAGTGGAACTTTTAGAAGGCTGTCTGAAAATTAATAGGTCACCTTACATAATGGGGAAAATAAGTTTTAGAATGCTTTGAACATTCTCAGAAAGAAAGTACAAGAACCCAAGATTGGGAGGGGAAAAATGAAGTCGACCTTAATTAAATGGGAAAAGGCATACGAGTTAACTAACAATAAACGTATCTCGAGTTTAATCAAACAAATCGACCACGAATATCGATGAAAAATCGGAATTATCCTGATGTATGGAACAATAATTAGCTATCTTGAAAATGCCTGTTAATGAGAGCCTGTTAGCCAGAAAGGGGAAGGGGTCAAGGGAAGTTTTGGATCGTCACGGAACATTTTTTTATAGGGGGGAGGGGGAGGAGGGGTAATTTTTAGTCTTTAGTTGCTATTGAAGAGGTCTAATTTGTTTCAGTGGGTTTAATGATTTAGCATCCCCCTGTCCCACATTAGTTATAATCTATTTTGTTATCAAAATCATAAGCTGAAGCGTGTTCTGCGAATGGATGTTTTGCTCCATTATTATACAAAAAAATGGAGAAAAAAAACGACTTTGGTTTATTCATTCGTTTTTATGTTAACCAATCGGAAGAAGTTGAGAAATACGGGAAATTATAATGGTTTATAAGATGATCATTGTGTGAATGAATAATTCGTTTTTTTGATGTTATTCTTATTCTTGATCAAACACGACCAACGTGCCAAAATGTCCTTAAAGATGAAGTTGAGTTCTGGTCATGCGATTGCATTGTGAAAGAAACGGTGTGGAATCGACCAGAAAAGGTTGCTTATCTAGCATATAAGAATTTGTGTGTATTGCAAGGTTCTGGAATCATCAAAATGACAGGCGCGTAGCCAGGGGGGGGCGGTGGGGGCGGTCGCCCCCCCCAAAACGCCGGCCAAAAAAAAAAAAGAGAGAGAAAGAGAAGAAAAAAAAGAAAGAGGACGTAGGAAGAAAAAGGGAAAAGGAATCGAGAACGGTACAATGAATCGTCAAAGCTTCCGCGCTTCGCGCGGGAAGGGGGAAACTGAAATATGAGTCGGGAAAGGTACAACGAATCGTCTTCTTTCTCTAATAATTTAATGAAACGTCAAAGCTTCGCGCGAGAGGGGGGGGGGGTAACAGAATTCAGACAAGGATTAAGAGTCGAGAAAGGTACAACGAATCGTCTTCTTTCTCTAATAATTTAATGAAACGTCAAAGCTTCGCGTGAGAGAGGGGAGGGACTGAATACAGATAAGGATTAAGAGTCGAGAGAGGTACAACGAATCGTCTTCTTTCTCTAATAATTTAATGAAACGTCAAAGCTTCGCGCGAGAGAGGGGAGGGACTGAATTCAGACAAGGATTATGAGTCGAGAAAGGTACAACGAATCGTCTTCTTTCAAAGCTTCCGCGCTTCGCGCGGGAGGGGGGAAACTCCCCCCTCCCTGCACCCACCCCCCTAGGGAGCGCGCTTCGCGCGCTCTTTAAGTGATTCGCACGCTTCGCGTGCTCACTACCGCCCCCCCTAAAATAAAATCCTGGCTACGCGCTTGCAAAATGATAAGAAATTTGGCCAAGTCTTGGTAAAGTTACAAACACTGTACACAGAAAGATGTATATGGGACAACACGAACACGTGGCGTAAAAATCCTACCCCCGAGTTTAATGATGTTACATGACATATTTAGAATATGAAGGCATTTGAAGAGCCATGCTTTTCAGGGAACAAGTCTTATCTGATGTTCTTCCACACTAGCATGATAAGAATGATAACGCTCACAAATTATTTTTCACCTCTCCCCAGAACTCAACCTTCTCTTTAAGTTCTAGCACAGCATGCTTTGGCCTCAACATTTCTCTTGATAATGTTAACCTGTTATGATGTAGCAATTATTATAAATTATGAATTATTATCTTGATGGAAGTGCACTGCCCTCCAAACTCTTAAAAGTAAATAGCAAGGTTACAAATATAACTTCCCTCCTCTTTTGGGGGAGTGAGGGAGCGAGTCAGCTAGGCGATGAAGAGGTGTGTGGATTTATCCATCTTTACCCCTTGTTTGATGTCCATGAGCGTGTTTCTCTTCTAAGCCATGCGACCTCACTCCTCTATTACACGTGACCTCGTGAATCAAAAGACTCACACAATGCTCTTATTTTCTCCCTTTTGCCCGTTATAGGGACGGTTTATGAAGGGAAAAAAAATATTATCGCGATAGAGTTTACTTTGACTTTGAGCGTGACGAGCGCTTTGTTATGAGACGTTACGTAATTCAGGGACGATATTAGGGTCAGACCGCTGTTTAATATACTCCACTGATTACGTGAGGAAGGCCCTTTTCATCTAAATTGATATTAATTTCAGCCAGGTCATGGAGATAAGCCGACTAGAATGGCAAAAAGGATGTCAATGTTAAAGACATTAACCGAATTTGTGGAAGGAAGAAATAGGGGCAAGGAGTGAATGGAAATGATAGGAGAAGAAGAAAGAAAGAAAAAAATGGTCACGTAATATTGTGTATCAGAATTTTATGTCGAGGTCACTTTGATTTGGTTGCCTTATTTAGTATACTCTCATTTTAAATTATCGTTTCTTTACAATCTCAGAATAGTTTATTAGGTAACAGTACAAATATACAATGCACGTGATATAGTAAGCAGTTAGTTAAAATCTTTACTTTGTTTACGATCGGTCAACAAGTAGGTGATGTTGATATACCACATGGTTACATATTTTTCTTCTTAATTTGATTCACTGATAATAATATTATGTAGTTTCTTTTACAATTTAGTGAGCTGAATTTCGTCGTGTGCTTGCTATCATTTTCTTATCTTTAAAATATTGCATACATTTTAGCCACTTGAAAGTATAGAATTATGAATTTATCGTGAAAAATGTTCTTAGGCCCAAGTCTGATACGCCTATTTTGCTTGTAATGTCAAATGATTCAAGCGCTATTGTATATTATGAGAAATTATCTTTCGAGGTAAGAATGCAGCCATTCGATCCAGATAAGAATCAGAGTTAAGATGACACAACGTGCATGAAAATGAAGATGATGGTAAATATTTTCGAACACATGGCATTTCCCCATTATTGATAAAAAAGAAAGAAAAGAAGTTCTGTGTATCATCGGTCAAGAGATGGGGTAATTTGAGGAAAGCCTACAGCACTAGTCAAACTTAATGAGATCAACTCCAGTGATGTTTCAAACATCAGTCAAAGTGTGATAAATCTTACCGAAAACTTTCTGAAAGTTTCAATTTATTCATTAAATGTCATTTGAAATAAAAAGAAGAAGAAGAAGATGCTTTTATCGCTCTTTATGATCTTATCGTTCGTAGGTTTCTAAGATCTATTCATTCTTTGGAAACACGAGTCTCCACTGTCAGTCGTTTTGTGTCATGGATTAGAATCTGAAAAGTGTAATTTTCGAGGTTACAAATCTGTCGGACATAAAGTCTTCAAGAAAAGTAGCACAGGGCTGGCTACATGAGTTTTAAGTTTGATGGTTATGACAATGCTAAAAAAAATCCGTCTGCCCCCAACTTATTTATTATTATTTCCATATAATAGAGTTTTCTTCATTCAAGCCAACAAAAAGTCAAATGGGATTTTGATGGACTGCTTTCAAAGAAAACCCTACACTATATAAATATATAAGGGATGAACATATTGTATATAGGCTATAGGGCATACAACTCCAAATGATCACAAAAATATATTATTTTATAAATTTTAGTGCCCGGTAGAATTGTCATCGCAAAATTGTGAATTATTTTTCGATAAGTTTTACAATTCTTAAGATAAAAGGTTAATATAAGCAAGAATGTAATCAACTCAAATATCAGGTTCCACATTTACTCCTTTTTTTTCCAAGAACAGTGAGAGCCTGGATCAACTAGCCACTGGAAACAGTGATGCCACCATCACTGCCAGCATTTCATCAGAATCATATGGAAGGCATGATGTAGTATTTTATTTGCACCCCAAAACACCTGTAAAAATTCATGCACACTACACTACCTCAGATACACGCACAAAAAACTCAAGTTCGTTTTATAAGTCCATGTTTTATCTGCAAGAAGAATCTTCATGATTGAAGGTGGCAGAGGAACCTATACTAGAAAAAAAAAAAAAAAAAAACACTTTGCTCAGCGGTCCACTAGACGCGAGCAAGTTGAGATATATAGCGCCACTTACGATCAAGTTGGCCTTCATAACATTAACACGTAGTGAATAAACTGCATTGAGAAGATCGAAAAAGGAAGGATAAATATTGGTGTAAAATATGTGCAAATCTTCTATCTAACGGGTATGTTTTTATGCTATTTGATAAATTACATATTTCCCCATTATTCATTGGGAATTTGCAATGAATCACGAGTAGGTCATTGTCGAAAAGGTACCACAGCTGTGAATAGATTTGGTTGAAACTGTAAATGTAAGTTGCATACGACATGAAAATTAATTTGTGGGACTACAGTAAATATGTTGATGAGCAAGCGTAGCTCGTAGACCGAAAGCTTCAATTTCTGATATCGACGGTTGTTCCGCTGAGATTGCATCTGGCTCCTCTGACTGCCTTTATACATATGGAATGTCAACAAAGTCAGTTTTATCAAAGAAATGACCCATATCAGACGGTTATTTCTGTCTAACAGCGCAAGCGCAGCTTAGTCACACAGTGGCAGTGCAGTGTTGTATTGTATCTAAAGCCATTTGACGCTAGTGTAGCTAGTTCTGTATCCATTTTTTTTAGCAGTTTAAAAATCCATTCTTAGCAAAGAAATTTTAGCCCAATTTTTGACTAATTTTAATCATAATCATATATTGCATTTTCCACTTGAATTTGGATCACATTCGACATCGGGAAACGTTTGTTTAAAGGTCTAGACCTAGACCTATGTCCCTTTTGCAGCCAACCTCAAATGCTGTAGAACTTTGCAGGAATTATGAATATGTCATCTCTGAAATTTAAACGTTAGCAGTGTCCTCATATTCAAATTATGCAAGGAAAACCGTTTACTTGCTAGACTTCACTGTAAGACACTATTGAGTGACTGACTGGCTTTTTCTTCTTTGGTAATAACATACATGAAAAGAGTTGTAAAGGGTACATGAGTAGATCTATTTGTCTACATCAATAACCCACTTTTTGTGATGGCCAAGATTAAACTGATTGAATCTTTGCGCAGCATAAAACGTATGACCATTCGGTACAATTGTCTGAAAATCAAGACTATTACTTTTGGGCTCTATAGCCCTAAAATCGATTTTACAACTAATAGTCATTATTTTCCCACTTGAAGACATTTTCAAGCTCCACCTTTTTTAGGGAAGTTCTAAATTAGTATTATCTTTCAAATGCAGTTGGAATTTAACTTTTTCATTTTTTGGGCCTGCAAATGGGACATAGTCCCTTTAAGGGTTCGATGTCAACGTCGTCGCTTAGTACCGTCTACGACTACATGTACGCTGTAGTCCTGCACCTCATACTGAAGCTATCAGTCCAAAATTATGCAGACTTCTCGTATGCGCGATACCATAAACCATACGAGAAGTCTGCATAATTGTGTACTGATACCTTAGTTTGAGGAACAGGACTGTAGCGTAGAGACAGTACTGAGCGACGACGTCGACATCGAAGCCCTAAATGAAGGTTTCCCGATGTCGGATGTGATCCAAATTCAGGTGGAAAATGCAATATATGATTATGATTAAAATTAGTCAAAAATTGGGCTAAATTTCATTTGCTAAGAATGGATATTAAACTGCTAAAAAAAATGGATACGTAACTACACTAGCGCCGCAAAGGCATGATATGACTTGGGCTTAAACTTAAGTCAAACCCGCCAGGGGCCCGTTCCTCAAAACTGTCATAAGTCTAACAACTTGACTATCCCATTGAAATGTGTGTTATATACTTAATACACGTTTCAATGGGATAGTCAAGAAGTTAGACTTGTGCCTGGTTTTGAGGAACGGGCCCCAGATCGCGATCGTTAGTAACTTAGTAAAGCCCCACTGCACTAATTGTAAGTTGTTGTTGTTCTTGGATTTTAAGGCTGACCAATCTAAAAAGATTATTTCTGCTACTTGCGCCCTCTATAGCAAGCAATGCCTAATCGGTGGCGTGCGTTGGTCCCCCATGGTCCCCCTTTTCAGTTCAGCTTATTTGCTCTGCAGAATACCCTACCAATTACTTTATTAGCCATAGATATACTAGATTGTGATTTTATTGTTTGCGTGAAAATAATGTTATATGCTGTATACTTTCCCCGTTTCCTCAATACAGATCTGTTTCTCAAATTGATACCATCAGTAGGCCTACTTAGGAAACGGCACGAGACAAGGAAGTAGTGGGAGTTTGTCCAAGACATTTTAAACCATTGTGAGCATTCTTAAAATCATTCAAGATGGTGTTAGCAGATCTTGGAAGGAAAATCACGTCAGCTTTGAAATCATTGAGTAATGCAACCATCATCGATGAAGATGTAAGTATAGGAAAGTTGGCGTGAATGTATATACAAGAAAGATGCTTACAATACAGATGACTGTGTGTGGTGTGTTTTAAATAATTCTTCTTGGTAGAAAAGATAAAATATGGAAGCAAATAGTGCTTAAGCTCGGGAAAGGTCAAAAAGTGTTATTATGAGTGACCTGTGGTTAAACAAAAGTTAAACAATAAACAAGATCATAATCTCATATTTTCTAAAGTATGTTTTAAAAATGCTCTAGTGAGTATTTTATCCACATATTCTCTTTTAGTTTCCTTCAGATTAGATACCGGTATTGATTATTTAAAAAACCAATGACAATATAATATAATATGTGTATAGGGGATAGTATTTCTCAAAAACTACTATGGAAACCAAAAATGTGGGAGCTTACTTGTATAGCCTATGAAATGGGCATATCGCATTCTTATGTGCAACATACATGTACAACTAAACTCACAATTATCTTGAATTGTGCCAAAACTCTTTGTAGTACAGTGGCTTAACAAATTCCTTTTATCAATGGTCTATACATCTAGGTACTCAACTCCATGCTCAATGAAATCTGCAGGGCTCTTCTGGAAGCCGATGTCAACATCAGACTTGTCAAAGCTCTCAAAGAAAATGTCAAATCTGTCATTGACTTTGATGAAATGGCAGCTGGTCTCAACAAACGCAAGATGATCCAGACTGCAGTCTTCAAGGAGCTAGTCAAGGTAATGTACAGTACAGGGTGATTGGACATTGCTCATGTGACGATTGTTCCAATCTAATCCAAACCAGGTATTTATAAAGCACCACTATCTAGTTGCCTAATCAAAGGCACTGAAGATGTTCCAGTATATAGGTGTAGGGTTAGGTATAGTGTTGGATCCAGAGTTTAAGTTATGACTAAAATTTGGTTAGTTTTAAGGAGTTGACCATGGAACCATTGTCACAGGAGTAGGCGTATGTCTTGTACAATCAACATACAGATATTAAAGTAACAATTTTTGAGCATCATGAGAAGTTGATGTGTTGTTTGATACTCATTACAAAGAGTATTTCTATATTCTCATCTTCTGTTGTACAATTTTTACAAATATAAGACTTTAATTAGCCAGAGTGTGTTGTGTTTATGATGGTGTGCAATAAATGATATTTAAAGGGATCGTTTAACAATGTTAAATCTGAGATACACGACCCTACGTGTTATCAGTGTCTGTGATATGGTGAAATATTGAAGCCCTAAAAAAATTGCGCTTCAAAATGATCAAGAAGTGCCTCAAAAAAGTAAAAATCTTTGAGTGACCGGTTTTACCATACTCGTTTTCCCCAATAGACTGTAGTGTTATGAAAACCGTCAGGCGAACGGTTTTCAAAATTTGTAATTCCAATCATAAATATCTTGATAATCAGCTTGTAAAAGTCATGAGGTTCCTGACTGACCTAAAGGTTTATAATTATCATTGCATCATGAGCTAAATCCAGAATTTTGTTTCAGAATCTGAGACAAAGTTACCGGACCCCTTTAATACACATGGTGTGTTTCTAAAGCCACTTTTTTGGAAGTGTCAGGTAATTAAGTAATTCATTTCATTTTTTGTTTGATTTTTGACAGCTTGTGGATCCTGGAGTGAAGGTGTGGACTCCAACCAAAGCAAAGCCCAACATCATCATGTTTGTGGGACTACAGGGAAGTGGTAAAACAACAACTTGCACAAAGGTAATTAAATGACTCAGATTAATATGGAGTATTGCACGATGTGTTCTGTCAGTAGACTATTTCCGTTAACATGTCAGTATTTCTTTAATTATTTTATGAAAATCACATTAGCTTAATTCTGGGTGATAAAATGTATCATGTGATGATAAAGATTTTCAAAAAGAATTTTTATTCAACTTGACCTTTAGTGTAATGGTATGTACAGATTTGTACTTGGAAGCTTGGTTGATTGAATCTTAATGTCATACACATGTTCTGATATGATGTTTATAAAACTATTAAGCCAAAATATCATTTCAGTTTAATGGCAGATGAAATGCTGAATTTATTTTTGATATGATTGTAATGTGTGTTCTAGGTGAAATAGAAATTTGAAATCTAAATACCTCTAGGCATCAAATATTAGTCCCTAAGATTCAAGATTATTTTGAGAATCCGATTCCCATGATAGTAAATCATTCACTTTTATCTCATTGATAGCTTGCTTACTACTATCAGAAGAAAGGGTGGAAAGTGGCTCTTATCTGTGCAGATACATTCCGAGCAGGTAAGTGCATCAGAACTCTTCTTATATATTATGAATGACTTTTCCCGCTATTATTAGATTACTGTTTGTTGAATTTTACTTCATGAAAATGTAGAGAACTCTTGGAAGGGATTTTTGTTGATTGTATCTGAGTGACAAAAACTCATGTGCATGGAAACTAACATTGTTAACATTTGAAAAGGATCAAGAGAACAAACATAAAAATAAAATTGAACAAATCTTTCTACCACATAATATAGAACAGAAGAAGAAGTACAGGTAAGTATACTTTGAGCCAGTCTGTACAATCTTGGCTGAAGCAATTTACTCTATATGTTTATACAGTAAGCTTTCATTTCAAGATATGCATTTATAATTTAGTATTCAAGATTTATTTACCTAAAATAAGTGGACGATTCAAGCATAAAACATATAAACAAGGAAATTAAATCTGGTATAATTTTGTTTGTATACCCATCTGTCTTATTTTAGGTGCCTTTGATCAGTTAAAACAGAATGCAACAAAAGCCAGGATACCATTCTATGGCAGGTGAGTGAGAAATATGATTGCTTGTCAACTCATAAAACACTTCCTTACCAAATATATGAACCTTACAATAAATGTTTATTTCCACATGTTATCACTTGAGTTTTGTTTCCATGTACACTTCGATTTGATGAATAGAAAATGAAATAAGGGAAATAAGAAACATTTCACTCAACAACGATATTGTGGATTACTGATTTTGCTTTTTATCTAGGTTTTTTAATCCAATTTTTAAAATCAATATTAGGCAAATATTCCATTATGATTCTTTACATCTAGCTATACAAAAAAAGAGGAATCTGAACTTAGATGTTCAAACTTTTTTTTGAATACATTTGGAAGATAAAAATATGAAAAAGTAATGATCTAAAGTGTATACTAGACTTACGTTGTTATATTTGTATATCCCCTGTGTATATCAGCTATACAGAGGTTGATCCAGTAATTATAGCTGCTGATGGAGTAGAGAAGTTTAAGAAGGAAAACTTTGAGATCATCATTGTGGATACTAGCGGAAGGCATAAGCAAGAAGATTCACTCTTTGAGGAAATGTTGCAGGTTGCAAATGTCACGGTAAGCTAGTTATGCTCTATCATGCTGAGATCATGATCACATTAGAGTAGAGTATATTTGATTAGAGTGATATCTTCTATTAAAAAGATCAATTTAGCAGTGTTATATCTTTCATCAAAAATTTACCAAACAAAAAAGTCACAGACAGTTAGGCCACATAGATATATCATTTCGTGAATAACTATGTAATAGGCATACCTATTCATTTTATTGTTTGTAAAATGTACATATGAATTGAGATCTATTAAACTGAACCGATATTTTCATAGTTTTATTTTAAATCTCAGATAAAGAAAATTGAACTTTCAACTTGATATGAGTTGACTACAACAAAGTTAATGAATCAGTATATCTTGGAAAATAAAGTGACTTTACAATGCTTTTGTAGATGCAAAGTATTGTATCTTTAATGTTGTGTTTCCTATGATAAAGTGACTTGCCCCTCCATGTTTATACACTCATTTAGAGTCCTGATAACATCATCTTCGTAATGGACGCTTCCATTGGTCAAGCTTGTGAGAGTCAAGCCAAAGCCTTCAAGGAGAAAGTGGACGTTGCATCGGTCATCATCACAAAGTTAGATGGACATGCCAAAGGAGGAGGTGCTCTTAGTGCGTAAGTAGATCAATGTAAATTATGTGTTTTTAAACACCTGAAAGACTGGTATTTTAGATCGAATAAGAAGAAACAGTGATAAAAAACCCTGGATGTTTTAAAGCCCATCTGCACTAGTCTGGCCAGGAGGGATTAGACCTTCCTGCATGGTCACTGACAGGTGGTTATCTCATCAAATCAGCTCTAAATTAACATAAGAAAAAGGGGACCATAGGGGATTAACGGTCACCGATTAGGCATTGTTTGCTACATAGAGGGCCCAAGTAGCTATAAGTGGTGCTTTAATATTCTTCTAAACAAGATATCTGAGGGTTCTATGCACTCAAATGATAACATTTGTTGATTAATTTTAAATGGCTTTGTAATTTTTGTGAAAATAATAATTGTTATGTATTTTTTAATTGTTTGCAGTGTCGCTGCAACAAAGAGTCCTGTCATTTTCATAGGAACTGGAGAACACATTGATGATTTTGAACCTTTTAAGACCAAGCCTTTTATCAGCAAGCTCTTGGGTATGACACTCTCAGCTAACATTTTCTGGTCGATTTGTTAGCTGTTACACATCACTAAATAATGAATATCATACTATTTCTCTCTCTCTCTCTCTCTCTCTCTCTGTTAATATGATTGTATAGCCTCTAACATGTTTGCAGTTGCAGTATGTGTAGAAAAAATTCTTCTCCATATTAAAGACCTTAAATTGTGAGAGTTGGAAAAGCTCTTCAATTAATCTTGTGAGACACTAGTCAAAAAGAGTCTAGATTATATTTAAAGTTTTTTGAAAGAGCCATATTAACAGCTATTTTGAAATGGCAAAATAATAATTTGTAAATGTTTGGATAAATGTTCTGTGCTTTGTCTGTCAAGGCCAATATTATATCAATGATTAAACTGATTACCATAAGGGTAATTAAATGTAAGCTGGCACATACTATGTGCTGAAGACCTCATCACAGTCAGTAACTCTTTACATTTAACTTGGGCTTTTGCATGGTGAGATTGGTTTTACTGGATATCTGACAATGTTTCAGGGGATTTAAATAAAATAGGTATTTATTTATTTCAATGCATAATGTTTCATTCTTTCATTTGTTCTCTCAGGTATGGGTGATATTGAGGGTCTAATTGACAAGGTCAGTGAACTCAACCTGGATGACAATGAAGAACTCATCAACAAACTCAAACATGGTAAGCAATCAGAGAAAGCTCTCTGTCTATTTGAAGTGTTTGTGTCATCAGAAACAATTCCACTTTAGTATGAATTTAAACAGTCTGTCAAATAATCTTACATGACATGTTTTTTTTTACTGAAAGGATTGCACTTGCATGTGATATGTATTGTAAATTACAGAAATTCAGATCATTGATGTACAACCTTACATACATGTACATGTTATTTGCATCACCCTTTCTTAATGTTGTACCATTAAATGTGTTAAAAAACCCAATGTATTTTTTGTGTGTGATATTTTAGGGGCAGTTTGTTATTAATTTCTTTAATGTTTCTTTCTGCAGGTGAATTCACGCTGCGTGACATGTATGAACAGTTCCAGAATATCATGAAGATGGGACCTTTTGGACAAATCATGGTATGTTTACAACTGTGTCAATGCTCCTCTTAAATAAGTCAGACTTTGCCCTCCCCCCCCCCCCCCCTCCTCCATGTCAGTCGATATTTTCACAATATGATCCTGAGCCAGGTTGGTCAAAATTTAAGTTTTCAGTCTATACAATGTTTTTCTTCCATAGCAGACGGACATTTTTCTGTAATGTGTTATTCACTACTGGTATTCAAAAATGGTTTATTATAATAATTATTATTATCAGGATGGATGACATTAGGTCATGAATATGATGCCTCCAGCACTCCTCTTTTATTATGCACAACATGATGTCACATTTTATATTACTTTTTGGCTTCCCCATTTTACTGAACAAAAATATTGCCAATTCATCTATTCACCTATTGAATGCTAGACTGATCTTTATGATAGTAGTTTGCTTCTAGATGTATTAAGAATAATGATGAAATTCATCCTTTATCCAAGTAGTTAGTGTGCTGATTTAACTTGTGACTATGCACTAGGAAAGTTAAAATTGATCAAAATCCAAGGACGTGCTCTCGGTTAACACAAACTTGTGTGATTTCAAAATAAATAAAGTTCAGGGTTTTATGTAGAAGGGGATTATAATGCAGCTTTGATTTTATCAGGGCAATTCAACAATATGTAAACAATGCATTACTCCTGTACCTTTGTCATGAAATAATGATGTCTGTTGTGCATTATGTGTAGGGTATGATTCCAGGGTTCAGCAGTGATTTCATGACGAAGGGCAATGAGCAAGAGTCCATGGCAAGACTCAAGAAACTGATGACCATGATGGACAGTATGAAGGATGAAGGTAAGTGGTCTGACAGGCAAGATCAATGGTCAATATGTTAGCATGAATCATATGCAGCTTCAAATTGGAGGCATGACATTATACAAAGTATTCAAAACTATATTATACATCTTTTTATTCTCAACCAAGCTTTTGATGAAACACAGAGTATGAATTGTAATGTGGGAAGAATCTCTTTTTTTTTCTTTGAATGGGTTTTCTTTTTATTTATTTTTTCATTATTTTGTACTTATTTATTTATTTATTATTATTATTGTTATTTTTATATTAAATATATATACTTACCAAAATGCCCCCTCCCTCTGACACAATTTTGGACGATAAAATGTAGAAAATGTAATAATGTAAAAATCTTTGTTATTGCTTGTCAGACATTACAGATTTTTGGGACTCTCACTCCTCAGCAAAGAATTATGGATCTACCACTGTTTTCTGTTTACCTTCACGATTCCCCATGCAAATGTAAAGTATTTGTGACTGTAACATTCTGTCCACAGAGCTTGATAGTAGAGAGGGTGCCAAACTGTTCATGAGATGTCCAGGCAGAGTCCAGCGAGTGGCCAGAGGATCTGGCGTTTCGGTCAGGGAGGTCCAGGAACTCCTTCAACAGTACCAGAAGTTTGCTCAGATGGTCAAGAAGATGGGAGGCATTAAGGGACTCTTCAAAGGTAAGTCAGGTAAGAAAAGAGTTTTGCACTTTTTTTTTAAAGAGGGAAAAAAAAAAAGAAGAAAGAAAGAAAGAAAATTGATGCAATATTTCAGTCTGTCATTATCCGATCACTGTACATGTCCCCCCCCCCCCCCCTGCTCCTGAATTTTTCATTATGCACCTCCGAGTAAGACTGAATGTTTAACCCAATCGTAGCGGCCTCTCCGATAAATGTTCCTGTCTTAGTTGTGCACATGCACTGCCTTCTTACCCAATCGACTTTCCAATCATAATCTTGGTTCTAGTCACACCTCCACTCTTAATTGCACGCGATCGAGAACAAGCATGCTTGGAAAGTAATGTCTGTGAAGTGTCCGTACACTATAAATAAGTACAATGTACTGTCCATGAGAGCTTCGATACTGCTTCCAATGTACGGGACGTACGTATAGCCAGCGCTCAGGCTAGGCGCGCCCAACATCGTTCACTGCACTTGCACTGCTTGCACAGTACTCCAATGACTTGTCGTATGCATAAAGAGCAGCGAAATTGCTTGTTATAACCAGAATGATCAACAATATTTTTCTTTGTTTTAGGGGCACTGGATGTAGCTCATAATATTTCAAAATCTCGTTATACTCTTTATACACTTATATCGATCACCTGTGCAGAAAGATAGTTTTCCTTAAACATTGCTTCTTTATTGTTGAATATGCTGTGCATGGAGACCACATGTTTACAAATAACCTATTTTGTTGTCTTCCTGAAGCAGTCTTTCTATACATGTTTAAAATATATTTAAATATTTAATATACATTAAACTATTGAATATTTAAATAAATTTCACTGTTTATGTCCAAACAATTTTTAGGCATTAATGTTTGGACTTGGCTTTAGAAAGATATTGAGAAGTCAACATAAAATCTATGGCTTTGCAGTTTGGGTTAAGTTTGATTTTGATATAAACAGGAAATCACTTTTCTTCTCCTATTATACTAGGTGGTGACATGTCCAAGAACGTGAACCCAGCACAGATGGCTAAGATCAACCAATCAATAGCAAGAGCTATGGACCCCAGAGTACTCCAACAGTTAGGTAAGTTAACATCTGTCGATTACTGTGTATGTCATGTTTGAATGATAGGCATATTGACAGCTTTAACATACAGTGTTTAAGAGAAATACATCCATGGAAAAAAGGGTATTAAACCTCACTACTAATATAACGATATTATATTATGCTTGTAACTGACAACACAGTGAATTTTTTTGTGCATACATGTACTTATTGAATACTTTTATTTCCTTCTTATTACAAAATAACTTAATCAGTCAACTTTCTTTGTCTCAACATTTTCAATGGCTGTGTATTTTGAGACAAATATAGAATAAAACTGATCTTTTTAACACTTATATTATGAAAAGATGTCTTTCTCACCACTTCCTCCCTTGCTCATGAATTTCTTTCTATCCATACATTTTTCTGCACTGTAATATTATATGCCATTATTGTCTTTTAAGCTTCTTCTAACATGCCTCTTGTGCTTCCCTGTTCTTATGATTTGTATTGTTTTGTTCTCTCATGATATAGGTGGTATGAATGGACTCCAGAGCATGATGAGACAATTCCAGCAAGGAGCAGGAGGCGGTATGGGCGGTGGTATGGGAGGTCTAGGCAATATGATGGGAGGGGGTAAATAGCCCTAAGGATCGGGTGAGGAAGGGCAGAACTTTAGTCATGAATACAAAAGAGAGGAAAGGAAACTCAGCAAAACAAGGATACCATTACTGCAACAGGTACTATGAGAGAAGGAAATCAGAAAGGTGTTACAAAACAAGTGCTGCATGAACTGTAGCCGCACAAGGAAGAAGCAAGGAAAGACACTTCTCAATGATGTAATGAAAGAACCACCATTATCTTACACATTAACACTGTGCAAGGACATTGTGGAGGAGTAAATATCTGTAAAAACAAGTTTGCACAACTTCCTTAAAACATGATGAGAAATGTGAACACATCAAAGGAGGATGGGTATGACTATCATATTAATTGCCTTGTGTCTCTGTCCTGGCCATGTGATAGATAAACAAAATGGAATCTTGTTTTATTCAATGAGATAACACACATGCCTGCTGGAGTCAAGCAGATATCACTATGGTAATTGAGTTCATAGTTAATAACCCTTGAGAGAACATCTGAATTCAATCTTCCATCACGCAAATAAAAGAGGTTTAGAGATAACGGCAAGCAATTCCTAGCTGGTATGGAATTAAACTCTCATAAGATAGTTCTTCTTTCTTCAGTACATTTACAGGTGTTTGTTCCATATATATGTATATGGTTTTGAGACTACTCTGAGAAAGGCTGTCAAAATATGATTCTGATTGGCATCATCCTTTGATGGGCTTACATACACAGACATAATATTCAGTTGTTTTGACCAACACATTCAAGACAAAAATTTGAATCATCACATTATGCATATGTATCAAAATATTGTAGGTAATTTATTATCACCAAGTTATACAATTGAACACTCAACAAAGCTCATGGTTATTATGACAATGTATTATTAAAACCTTTTTTTCTCAATTTTTTAATTTTATTTTGTTGAATTTGTGAAAATTTTACTTTGTCAAGTTTACTCAAGCTGACCTTTGAACTCGAATTTGTAGTAATTTATGATTCACTTCTCTCCTATGTGTCATTTCTTCACGCCTATCACACAATTTAAGATGGCTTCTTCTCCTGCCTCAGTGTGTTTTCTTATGAAAGAAAAAGAACTCTCTGTACGCTTTTACAGTAAAGGATTTCATTTTTACAATTACTATTACTGGTAAAGCAATTTATTGAAGTGCTACTTTAGTAGTGAATGTACTGATTATTCTGATCATTTTCAGTTGCTTAATTTTCTGAAGGCAGTGATTTTGTTTGTTGAGTACTGTAATTTTTCTAGTCAAGCTGTATTATCTTACAATTACAGAGGATTTAGATTATGCTTTTGAGGCCTTTTCATATCAGACATAGTCATATTACAGTTAATCACAATGCCATTAAAGATAAACTTGAGTTCTGGTAAAAAAAGAAAATGAATTCTCACAGAATCTAACAAAACTTACACTGAATGTTCAAGATTACAAATAAATGTCATGTGCCAAACAATTTTTGAAGAAAATGTATACTGGCTGAGTAATGAGCATATAAAGATAAGGAAATCAGGGTAGTACTAGCCCTGACACCGTGTGTGTTGTCCCATATACATCTTTCTGTGTAAGTGATTGTTACTTTACCAAGACTCTGCCAAATTTATGATGATTTTGATGACTCCAGAACCTTGCATTACACACCATTACTTACATGCTATATGATCAACTTTTCTGATCCATTCCACACCTTTTCTTTCACAATGCAATCGCATTACCAGAACTCAAGTTTATCTTTAAGATTATGTGGGTTTCTGTAATGTACACATTGATTTTTCTTATGGGTTGATCGTTAATGAAGTTATTACTTTGAAACCTCTTTTAATCACTTTTATCCCAAGATATAATTCACACACATTTATTTATTTTTTAATGTTTTGGGAAAGAATACCCACAGGAAATTGAATGAAGGATATCGTAAAGCAATGCTCACAAATGAATCTGAAATTGGGTAATGTGAGTTAATCAAATATGATATATTTCCCTCTGTTTTCATTTCGAAAGTAACATTTCCAAGGTTGAAGCATGTATCTAATAAAAAATTCATCTGTTTTTATGTTGATAATCATATGCAATTCTGGTATTGACATTTTCTTTTCTCTGTTTCAGTCACTATATTTTTGTCTCCTTTCCAAAGTTTTTTGTTTCTATTATTATTCCACTGTATAGCATCTGTAATTTTTAAAATAAGCTAAAACTTGCTCACAATTATATTTTCTTTGGGAACGTTTTGTATATTCAGACAAGACAATAAAAAAATAAGGAATATGAGATGTGGGAACATGACAGGTTATTGTAAGAACTGTCAAACATTGTCCCAAGAAAAAATCATGTTGTATGTTTGATCAACTTCCTTACACTATGGAAGTACTATATACATGACTTCCATTGGAAGTATGTTTAGGTGCATGCATAAATGTATATTGAAAATTAAAATTCTTATTTAAAAACCAAAAGATCATGTTTGTATTTTGTTTACTATTTTATTGGTTCATATTTTGAATTTTATGTGGAGGCGTTTTAAGAATACTGTACTTTACACAAGCATAAAGTTAAATTAATGTCTATAGCAGGGACGGCGATCCCGGGGGGGGGGGGGGGGGGGGCATGTCCCCCCCCCCCTCAATTTTTTTAGGGGTCCCCCCCCTGGAAATTTGAAAAAGTGCAAAACAAATTGTATAGCATATACTGAATAATGACTGCAACACACTTTTAGGCTCCGGAAGGTCCAAGAATGCAGCGTTTAGACTAATAAAATTGCAAAAAAAATCTCGCTCGGTCGCTACGCTCCCTCGTATAACATCCTTGTAAAAAATTTCGCATTTCATCCCCCCCCCCCCCCCACCGGTCATTAACAGAAATCGCCGCCCCTGGTCTTTAGTCTCTGTTTTTAGAGACTTAGTGGCCATAATAAATCCAGTAAAACATTGTGGAGAAACCTTAAGTATATGTTAACCAATGTCCATGGCTTTGATGAGAATTGATGAGAATGCATATCCTAATATCAATGTTTACTTTGTTGAAAAAAATATTTTAAAGCTTATCTGCCATAGTTTACAGGAAGGATTAGACCGCCCTGCAAGGTCACTGAACAGGTGGTTATCTCATCAACTCGGCTCTCAGTTAACATAAGAAAAATAGGATCATGGGGGACCAATGGTCACCGATTAGGCATTGTTTGTTGTATAGAGGGCGCAAGTAGCTACAAGTAGTGCAGTGGGCCTTTAAGATTTATGACTCCCACCACTCCTTCCAACCCAATCAAGTACCTTGTTAATTCCCATTTGATCCATCGAGCAGGATTACGTTGTTGATTATCCTCTTTTTGTTTTAAAGACTAAGCACTGATTTAGCATTGAATATAATTTTAGCAATTTTTTCTTCTCGATTGCTTCGCTCCCGCCCCCCCCCCCCCCCCCCCCACCCCTCCCTCCAATCAATCGAGAACATTGAACACATTTTTTATTGCTCGCAAAATATTTAATGATTACTGCCCTCTAACGCCACAGCCTAGAGAGGTCCCGAATTTCGAAAATTGGAAAGTTGCCGTGAGGAAATATTCATACTTTAGTCATAAAGTGTCTGGTGAGTGTTTTGGGGGTTTCGAACTCATTAATGTGAAGAGGACCAATAATGAATCTATTTATATCTCATAGATCTAGATCAAGATATCTAATATCAAATTTAACTGTACAAAAGCAAAGGTCCTAGATTTCTGACCGACAGCAGTACGTCCCCACCTACTTAATATTGTGTTCGTATACTGTTTTGACGTTGCAACCTTGCCCTGACAGACGGACGGTACCCCTTGGCCTTACTACGGCTTTCAAAACGGGAGAAGATTGCTACGGATTTTTTACCACATTCATGGGCCTCGCTAAAGAGGGGGGGGGGGGACACCCCCCCCCGACGTGTCAGGATATCTTTGTGAAAATTGTGCTGCCATCAGGAAAAATGAGAAAGGGGGAGGGACAAAATGAGAGGAAAAGGGAAAGAAAAAGAAAAGGAAGAAAAAAGAGGAAATGGGAACAAAAGAAACAGGGAATGAAAGAAAGAGAGGAGGGCTAGAGAGAGAGAGAGAGGGGGGGGGGGGGGAGAAGTGAGATTACTAAGAGCCTGAGAGAACTCGAGAGGAGGGATGGGAGTACTATAAGAGAGGGGGGGGGGGGTGGATGGAGTTTTCTAGTCGAGGAAGCAAGAAAGATATGCATAGATATGTTGCTGTGTCGGTATTCTTGCTTGATCCTCGTGTACTTATCAATACAGAAGTAGAAGTCGGTGAGATGTCGGTCGGCTGGCAATTTTTTTTCCCCTACGAACTGTGACTTTTTATCCGCTGTGACGACTTCGAGAGAGACTACAACTACAGTGTATAATACTTGTATTTTTTTCAAAGTTTTAACCTCACCATAATATCAGCAAAAGAAAACAGAGGTTAAAAATTTGCAACCCGATCAAATTATTTTCAGACAATTAACAACTTTCTCAAGTAGATACCTAGAAAATATTTGGATGTCTGGTTAGACCCAACTTTAAGTTAAAAAGAACATGTTAGACATCCAAGCAAGTAGATTGCACCAAGGATTGTACTTCTTAGTCGCGCTAAAAGATTTTTGCCTCTAGACAGTTTGAAGCTACTTGCGAACTCATTGATAAGGCCTCTGTGTGATTACTGCTCCACTGCTTAGTCAAACTGTCCACACAATACAAAAGTCATATACATAAACCAACATAAAAGGATCGCCAGAATTATTCTTGGGGTATCGGTAGAACGGAGGTGGACGTTTCATAAATGTAAAATGGTATATCATGTACTGAATAACTTTGGCCCTAATTACAAGATCACAGACTCTCCACAACCACAACACCCGCGATGCAACCAATTTTGGACTAGCATTACCTTTGTCACGAACAAAGATGGGTAAAGGAGCTTTTTCTCATGAAGGTGCAGCATTGTGAAACCAACTCCCTTTTTGTCTTATACAGGCCCAATCAAAACAATTTGATTATTTTTATTTTGGGGTATTAAGTGTCAAAGTTTATTAAGAATGGTACAACATCTTGTACAAAATATTTTCTCCCCCATGTTTCTAAATCTTTGAAAATTCAATTTTGTTTATTCTGTTTATTTTATGTTTTAGATTCTGCATGATGTCCCTTGATCAAATTGCTCCAATTCAGTACTTATCACAGGACGTTAAAAATCAGCTGAGATCTGGTATAGCCACGCCATCAGTTGTCCAATGTGTAGAGGAATTAGTTGTGAATAGTATTGATGCTGGAGCTTCGTGTATTGCTGTACGTGTAGATCTGCCAGACTGTAAAGTTCAGGTTGTAGACAATGGAAGGGGAATCACTAAAGATGATATGCTCTATGTTGGTGAGAGATATGCTACTAGTAAGTGTCATGACACAAAAGATCTTGAAAACATATCCCATTATGGGTATAGAGGGGAAGCTCTGGCAAGTATTAAGGAGATTTCTTCAGTGCTGGAGATCAGTTCACGAGCCAGAGGGTCTGAAGTCACATACAGCAAACTGTATCGACATGGAAAAGATCAAGGTATCTCAAAGCATTCCAAAGTGAGGCCAAGTGGAGGGACAACAGTTGCAGCTCATAATGTTTTCTATAACTTGCCTGTGAGGCGCAAGGTGCTCTGCAGTCCTCTGGTGTATGAACAAATCTGCAAGCGACTCCAGGCGATATCCTTGATCCATCCTCAAATCTCACTTACTCTTCGAAATGACAGCACAGGAGTCAAATCAATACAAACACACAACTCTTCATCCATTGTTCAAACATTTGGGTACCTCTTCGGCAAGGATGTAGCAGATTGCTTGAAAGAGGTGAATCACATTCGCACAATCTTCAACGTTTCAGGATTTATTGGATCAACCAGTTTTCGTAACAAGTCCTTGCAGTTTGTTTATGTGAATGGCAGATTAGTGCTGAAGACGAAAATTCACAAACTCATAAATGAGCTTCTCAGTAACTCACTTGTTACAAAGAGTAAAGGAAAGAATCAAGACACAGCGCTAGGATACACTATGAAGTCCAACGCTGCAAGTTCAACCTGCCAACCTAGCCCTGGAGGGAACCAAGTGGAGTATGGCATCTTTGTGTTGAACATCACTTGCCCTCGCAGTGAGTATGACATCACGTTAGACCCATCCAAAACCTTGATAGAGTTTAGGGACTGGGAAGGAGCCGTAACCTGTGTGCATGAGCTGGTTACATCTTTTCTCCACAGAGAACATCTTACAATGAAACTAACTGTAACACAGAAAGGAAGCGAAGCAGGACTTCAGGAGAGGGATTCATTATCAAGTGATAATATGGAATCAAAGGAGACAGATGTGTGTGTCAATGCCATCAGTACAACTGATTGTACAAATGCAGTACAATCAACATGTGTAAGAAGACAAACCATCCCTGTGCCACATGTTAGCCCCATGGTGGATGACCAGAACCCTTGTGATGTAGAGACAATAGCTGACAGTAATGGGGAAGGTGATGGGGCATGCACAGATGTGTCTTTAAATAATCCTGACAAGACACCAGATGCATTCGGAGATGCTACCGAAAGGATGGATGAACCTGATATCATACAATCAGATGCAAGCGAAACAATAATACCTCAGTGTGAGCTTAACACTCATGCTGACTCAGAAAAGATTATTCCAACAAGCGCAAGTAACCATACGGATCCTGTTGTAGATGCACATTGTCAGCCCTGTGGGGGTATTTTGGCAACTAAACCTGTGCCAACAACACCTGATATTGAGAAGAAGGCAAGTGATAGTCCTCTGAAAATGCAGTCAGTGACTGCAGAAGCTCTCTTGACATCATCATCTTCAGAACTTGATGTATGTTCTAGTGAGGAGACACTAACCAGCAGTGAAGTGGAAATAAGAACACCTGAGTCAGATGTACACCAGTGCTGTGATGCTCGCTGTAGGTCGTTACGAAGAGATGACACTGACTCTGGACTAAAAGTTGCTGATCTTCTTTCCCCTAGAACCAAGCTTGCTGTAAAGGCAAGGAACTCTCTATCAATGTTCAGGAGATCAGTAAAGAAGAAGAGATTAACAAAGGCAGGGAAGGATGAGTCATCTAAGAAATCTGAACAGAAAGTCAATAAGCATCTGCAATTTGTTACAGCCAGTGAACACAAAACAATTGCATTGAGATGGCATAGGAGTCCAGGATTCCGAAGCAGATTGGAAAATCTGAACATCAAATGTCAGGACAGGCAGGAACAGAGGATGAACCCAATGATGGATGTACTTCAAAGACTGTCATCATCTAGTGGACCCAACCAACCAAACAATGATATGGGTGCTTCTAGTTCACCAAGTAGCAGCTCTAGGAAGGAAGTATGTCAAAACCATCAGCATACAAGTACTGATGAGAATAGCAAACCAGATCATCATAAAAAATGTCTTCATGTGGCAGAAATACTTGAAAACAATGCCGATCAGCATTTTAGTGACAAACACAATGTTTCCACTGTCAGTGTAGATGAAAAGGAAGGTAATCCAGCTGAACACAAAGAACACCTTGTTCAAGACTCAGAAGGGCAAATTACAATTGATGCAGGCAGAGATAAATGTACAGAAGTCACTACAGGAGAATACTGTGTAAGAGGAAGGATTAGTGGTAATGCCCCATGCATCCCAACAAGTTCTATGTTAGAATCGACACACACTAAGAAGAGGGTAGCAGATTATCCCAATTGTCTAATCATTGCTGAGGAACAGAAGAAAGTGGTACCTTGCGCAAACAGTACATCACAAAGCAGTACATTGAACTCTTCAGCTTCAGCTGAAATGCCAAGAAAATTCTTGACCTCCACTTCGTTCATGGTAAGTGCATGTGAGGTCTTTGACAGAGAACCATCACAAACCTCCAGTCAAACTGATGGTTGCACAAAAATCAACAATGCTGAACTTAAACAGGCAGTCAACCAGAGTGCTAGAGAAGCAGATGATGCACATGTAATGACACAGCCAAATCAGCAGAGACCTGTTGCTGTACCTCCCTGCAATGCAACAGAACCATTTAGTGTTCATGATGAATATGAATTTGCTGAGGGTGCAGAAGGTCTGTATAGGAATAACATTGATGATCAAACATTAGATGATGGCACATCATGCCCATCGATGGAAGGAGACATAACATTAATTGTAGCACCAGGGATCCAACTAATGAATGAAGAGGATACAGTTGTAGATGATGATCAAGGTGCTATAAAAAGCTTGCTGCTAGACGTTAATGAAAATGAGTTAAAGGGAAGCATTGTAGACCTGACTACTGAGCCTGATACTGTAAGTGAAAATATGGATCTTCTGGATACCATCGATGCAGATGAATCAATTTCGTTACTTTACATACCTCACCAAGATGAAGGTCTGTGTAACAATACAAAATCATATCAAGAATCAATCAGTTTATCAGAACAACCAGGTAAAGAAAGAGTTATTAGCACTGATATTCAATGCACGGAAATGTCAACTGCGCTAGTAGCATCTTCACTATCACCATCCGTTACACACCAGAATAATGATGATCTGGATGTCACTGGTGACCTAGATGTTACATCCACTCACGTCAGACACTGTGTTGGAGATGATGAAGTAGAGATATCTAGCCATGATAACCTATCTTCACAATCATCTAAGGTATGCGAATCCTTCCATCCAACTGAAAATGAAGTCATGGATGCCACTATACCATCTGCAGGAAACACTGATGGAGAGTTTGTGATAGAGAACAGAGAATGGTACAGTGTGTATGATGTTTCAAGGGGTATGAAAGTCTTTATCAATCGCTTTAATGGAAACTGCTCTATGGAAAAACCTGAAGAAGGTCCAGGAATGAACCAGGAAGCAAGGCAGATCAGTGAAGACACTCAATTCAGCATGGTAACAAAAAGTAAGTGAATGTGTAAATAATTTTTGCTTTAGTAAATGAAATACATGCAGGAGGTCGAAGAGCTCAAATTTAAATTTGAATTGATAAGTTTTCCCAATTTCCACAGGAGTTAATGACAAAAAAAATCACTGTTTTGGTTCTTTCAATATGATATGTCTAAAACTATCAGATTTGTCAAGTCAGTATTAAGAACATATATGTAATTTTGAGTGGACTATTTCTCAAGTGTATTAAAAGTCATGGATGCTTCTTCCTCAAAACCCAGTTATTACATTCACTTAACGTGAGCTATTCAGCTACATGTACCAAATTACAATATAGAAAAATGCAAGTTGCATATAAAAGTTGCTGTGCTAGGCAAACATGACGCAGCAGGTAAAATTTACGATTGTTATTAGTAATCACTGTAGTGAGAGGCATACATAACATTTAGAAATCTTTGTAAACTATTCTATTTGATTTCACTGATCTGCAATCCAATCACACAGGTGATACATTGGCCCATCCGCATCTGCCACACAGTGCGGCACCATTTGTGACCAGCCTGAGAGATAAAAAGGAATCATCCCATTCCCGTGATCCTCCAGTCACACATGCTACCATGGCAACCATTGATGCTGCGATGGAAGAGAGCCAAGAAGAAGATGATGAGCTATCCATGGTCAAGTGGGGCAATTCAAGTCAGATTTCAGGTAGGCTGTCTGCTTTTCATGCTGAATTGCGATTAGAAAAATAATGAAATTTAAATGTTTATTGGTCTGCAACTAAAAGCACATATGTGCTTGTGAAATATTATGAATTTTTTGGAGAATACTTTAGATAAGATATTAAAAATTGGGACAATTCACAATGATGAAACAGATCAGTTACAGCATTATTGCCCTGTATGGCTTCCATTAATTTTACTTTCTGTGCTTACATTCATACGATCATTAGTATTGACCCTTGGATAATTCCATGTGGAAGATAAAACTGGTTGTGCTAATTTTTGGGGTTAAAGATGATTGTCTTTCTGGAAATGCATGTTTCACTACTGTATAATAAGCACTTTACAATGCACAAGGTTATTTTCCTTTAATCCTTCTGAATCAAATTGACATATCATTTTTGTATGATTAGTTCACAGTTCTCTACTTTAAGATTTAGGGGATTTAGTTTATTTGTAGATACCGAACATGTTTATGTCTCATGCAAATTTAGTTACTTTAATATATATATTAATTTTTTGTTTTACAAACTTAGTACAAATCATATACCTATTTTATAGGAAAGGGCTGTGCAACCGATGAAGCTCCTCATTTCTTAAAATCCGATCAAGCGGAGACGGGATGTAGATTTTTAACATCTAATGTGAGTGAGGGTTTATCCAGTGTTGATGCAAAGTTTCAGGCCATGGTTTTATCCTCACTCAATCCATGTCAGTTCACCAAGGCCATGTTCAACAGTATCAAGGTGAGGAGCTTATCTAACAAAATAATATTTATGTATGTTTAGATAGGTTTTACAGGTTTGGTTGTATTTTTCTTTATAAAGAGGAGATGTCTACAGGCAGTGCACTTAAGAGATAATGTATTTTAGGGTTTATTGGAAGATTTTATCATTACCATGTTTTTTAAATTTATGATATTTGTTTCTAACGTGGAGATTTTATAAATCAGCAGATACCAGAGAGGATACATAAGACAATATGAATCCTAAAGACCCCAAAGAGATTGACAGCTTTGTTGTTTCAGGATTGTTGAAAGTTGGCTTTTTATTTAATTTGGAGAAGTGACTTGGAAAGATGCTCAGACATGTTTTAATATTTACAGCATGTAATTCCCTTGAATGAAGAGACAAGAAGAAAAAAAGAGAAAAAAAATACTAACCCTTCATGAATATAAATACCGTAGTTCATGTAAATATTGAATCTTGAAAGCCTTTAGATTCTCATTGATTGCTTATATTTTTCTTTCTTTCCCTTTCATTTGTGACTATGATAAATCAGGTCCTTGGCCAGGTGGATACTAAGTTCATAGCGTGTCTGGTGAACAGTGATTATGACAAGAACCCAGCAGGAGAATCTAACCTTCTCATTCTGGTTGATCAACATGCTGCACATGAGCGCATCAGACTTGAAATGCTTATTCAAGGTAAGAGGGAGATTTATCCTCATATAGAGTCTATCAGCCAAACTTTTTATGATCAATCCTTTTCATGTTGGCATTTGATTTTTAGCCAAGTATGCTACACAGTTATGAAAATCATATATGTACAGAATATTTACTTTCTAAAACTTCTCTTTGAAAGTGGTCATTTATGTGTAGGTTCCAAATCATTACTGCAAAATGCAGAAAAGAAATGAATGAACATTAAATTAAAAGAAAGGTGTTTGAGACATTTTTCTCAGGAATTACTTATACCCTATTCATCTATTGATTCGTGATGAATAAAAGAATTACAGTATAAAGGGTTTCCATATATGTTTTCAGAGAAATGTTTGATTATTAGAATCAAAATGTTTGATTATTAGAATTGAAATGTTTCAGAATGTGTGGGCTATTTGGGTGATACATACGATTCTTAGAATACTCACTGTTATTTTCTTAGTTTTACACTAATTGAATTGGATGATCAAAGCCCAAAACATCAATTTTAAATTGCATATTAAATAAAAACGATGTTAACACACGATTCAAAATCAATTTTAGATGCATATACACCACGCGTTGATACTGATGATATTGACAACGACAAAACGAGATGTATCCGTACTTCTGAAGTCACTCCAGCCCTCCGTATCGGCCTGTCACCATCTGAGCTCAGATTATTGGAGGCCTACAGTCCCAAGATGAAGAGGATTGGTATAGAATACACATTGTCTGGAGACAGTGCCATGGTAACACATCTACCAGCATGTTTCGTGGAGAAAGAAGCAAATGAGCTCAAGAGAGGGCGCCAGACCATCGCTACCAGTATGGCTGAGGTGAGATTGGCTATTACATATGAATGAGTTTACCAGTCAAATTATTAAGTGATGCAAATGAATTTTTTGTAAGCAGGTATTTTGTCCTACCTATCTATGGGATTGGATATTATGGTGTGGATTGTACATGTAGTTGGAATCCTAAGCCCAAAATATTCAGGATAAAGTATGTTCATGAAAATGAAGCAGCTTTTAAAAGGTGACGGTATGCAGTATGTGATTTTTTTTAATAATTTTTATCATTTTTATGCCTCCGCCACCGAAGGTGGTGCCGGAGGCATCATGTTTTCGGGTTGTCCGTCCGTACGTCCGTACGTCCGTACGTCCGTCCCGTTTGACCGTTATCACAATATCTCAAGAACCATTTAAGATTTAAACTTAAGACTCGGGAATAGTATTTATCACCATAGGAAGACGATCTGATTAGATTTTGGAGTACGTAGGTCAAAGGTCACAGGTCACAGAGGTCAACTTATGAAATTCCTTGTATTGAGTTTGTTAGCGCGATATCTCAAGAACCATTTGAGATTTAAACTTCAAACTTAAGGATAGTATGTATCACCATAGGAAGACGATCTGATTAGATTTTGGAGCCTGTATGTCAAAGGTCAAGGGTCACAGAGGTCAACTTATGAAATTCCATACATTGAGATTGTTATCATGATATCTCAAGAACCACTGGAGATTTAAACTTCAAAATTAGTGATAGTGTGTATCACTATAGGAAAACAATCTGATTACATTTTGGAGCACGTAGGTCAAAGGTCAAGGGTCATAGAGGTCAACTTATGAAATTCCATACATTGAGATTGTTATCATGATATCTCAAGAACCACTGGAGATGTAAAAACTTCAAACTTAAGGATAGTATGTATCACCATAGGAAGACGATCTGATTAGATTTTGGAGCACGTAGGTCAAAGGTCAAGGGTCACAGAGGTCAACTTATGAAATTCCATACATTGAGATTGTTATCATAATATCTCAAGAACCACTGGAGATTTAAACTTCAAACTTAATGATAGTGTGTATCACCATAGGAAGACAATCTGATTAGATTTTGGAGCACGTAGGTCAAAGGTCAAGGGTCACAGAGGTCAACTTATGAAATTCCATACATTGAGATTGTTATCATGATATCTCAAGAACCACTGGAGATTTAAACTCCAAACTTGTTTAAATTGCTCTATGGCGGAGGCATCATTTTCGACTGCGCGCAGTCAAAATTCCATCTAGTTCTCTTTGTCTTCTATTACTATTTTTCATATCTTAGAAGTAAAGGATCTAGAAAACAAACATAATAGATTTATGGATGCCATTTAATACATTTAGTTGCAATAGTATTTCATATTCTACAACTTAACAAGAAAAATATAACAAGAGAAGGGAATACCTCATACTTTAATATCTCAAGTCCACTATTAACATGTTTATTTGTTTATTGCGTATTTCAAATTCTTTTTGTTTCACTTGGCTCCCATCCAGACGTTAATCAAGGAAGTATTAGACTCAATACAGCATCAATCTGGAGCTGTGTCATCTCTACCGAAGACAATCACAAGGATTCTCAATTCTCAAGCTTGTCATGGTAAGTATCATACTTCCTTCTTTTTTCTCTTCATATTGACAAATCTCCAAACCGATTAATTTGTTATTTGTTATTATTTAAATGTTATTGTAGGTGAACTAATTTCTTGGCTACAACCCCTTCTATGAAGTAATTTGTCTTTGATTTCTTGTTGTGACAGGTGCTATTAAGTTTGGAGACACTCTGGACCGTGATGAATGCAAGACTCTGATAGGTCAGCTGTCATCATGTGACTTGCCTTTTCAATGTGCTCATGGCCGTCCAGCACTTATGCCTATTTTTGACTTTAAGAAAATAAAGCATGGAGTCAGTGAGAAGGTATGTTGATTAAACTTTAACATACATGTGAAAATTGTCCTATTTGAAAAATATAAAAAAGTTAACGGCAGTGAGTCTAAATTAAATTCTGTTGTTTGTTGATGCTGTTGTTGTTGTTTTTTGCTCTTTTTATTTTTATTTTGTTATTTTTAATGTAAAATATCTGAGCTTTAGATAGTAAGCATAATCATTTTATGACACAAGATTGCTGAAGGTTTATGAAAACTATGTTGCTTTGCGTTATAATGACATGGTATCAATTTTTATCATGGGCCAACCTTTCAATAGACATGTACATTAGGCATCAAACATTTTTTAATAGAGTAACGTTTTGTGTAGAATTCAAGGTAATACATTGATATAGAAGTAGACAAGAAGTATTAACAATTATAGGTATCCAATAGCTTAATCTCTTAATACTCCTAAAAAGTTTACCCCTAAATATTTTTTTTTTTAATGATCTATTTTTGAATAACCTATTTTTGGGTGTAACCTTTTTTTGACTGTGTGATTTTATATATTTTTTTTAAAGACTTTGTTGTATATCTTAAAGGTAGTGTATCCCTTTTGCAGCCACCATCGAATTCTGAAGAACTTTGCAGGAATCATGAGTATGTCATATCTGTGAAATTAAAAGGTTAGCAGTGACCTAGGGACCTAGTTACAAGGGAAACCGTTTACTCTCTGGACTTCACTGTCGGACACTGTTGAGTGACTAACTGACCTTTTAAAATTTGTTAATTACATAGGTAAATTTAGCTGTAAAGGGTACATTATTGTTTATACACATCAATGACCCGCTTCTTATAATGACCAAAATTAAACTTATTGAGTCTTTACTCAGCACAAAATATGCTGTACAAGGGTCTGAAAAATCAGACTACCTTCTAGGCATATTTTTTTTGCAACTTGTTTTGAAAATTCCTAACAATCAATTTAATTCCACATAGAGGTAACTACCAATTTAAATCTTTTAAGAGGAGAATTGAAGTTGGTATAATCTCTTGTTTAATGTAGAATTTACATGATTTTATATTTTCAGTCTGTAAAAGAGACAGACTACCTTTAATGAAAACAATTGATGAAAGTGCTCAGTAACAATAAAAGAAATAACAGCTGTTGGGTGGAGGGATGACCTGTACATGCTTCTTAAGATTCTGGTCCAAGCCTTTATCAAAATGTTTATAATATTACTGTATGCTTACAAGAGGTAAGGATTTTTCATTACCTTTAGAAATTACAAACTTGTGCAAAATTGTTTAAAAGAGCTGGAAATGAGAGTAACAAAATTGACAGATTTCTTCTATTTACAATAGGAATCAGATTAATTTTTTTCATACATTAGCTAACGTAAATCTTGCTTATAATTTTTTTTTGATTTTTCTCATCAGAGCATGAACTTTTCAAGATTTGAGTTAGTGTATGTAAATAATTTTTCTTCTCCATCTTTGATTATGACTCAAAGCTATTGTCTGGGGATAGATTTTTGGACATTACAACAACCATGAAATACCATGAGATACTGAACATTTATGAATAGGTTCTCATTTTGGAAAGTGCCCTCATTCTCGACAGCAGATTATACACATGTGTTAGTTTGGAGATTTTCTTGACTTTTTCACACGAATGAACTTCAACCCCCAATTTTTATTCCCCTCTTACTAGGCTGACCTGTATATCACCTTTATCAATAGACCCTCCAGTACTGTGAATGAAAATAAAGAAAGACAACCTTCAGGCTGGCTGTGGCACCAGCCCCAGCGCCAGTGTCCAGAATAAGTTTGATTTGTGAATGGTCAAATGGAATTCACACTTGACTGTAGATGAATGACCTCTAACATTACAATGAAGGTCAACTGAGAGATGATAAAGTGATATATGATTGTTATCCATCAGTGATATACTTCTTGAAGTGTATTGAAAAGTAATGAAGCACTATTAATCATGTCATTATTATTCAGATAGATGCAGTAGGAACTGAATTGATAAAGGATTGTGTAGAAACTTAGGAATTTAATGCAATCCGTCATTTTGAGGTTCATATTTACGAATATTTCTTTCCTTAGGTAGGGATTATTCTAGTAATTGTCATGCATTTTTAACCCTCATGGTATTTGATACTCCTCCAAATTGATGACCAGAGGTACTGTTCTTCAGACTAGACTGGTCTCTATTCTGACTGGGCTTTCTGAGAGCTAGTTTTGACTGTGGGGATGGGGGGTCAATTTTACCCCCCCCCCCCCAAGATCTGGGCCATGGAAGGCCCAATGACACGCATATACAAAATACTGCTCATAAAAATTGCTTGTTTATTGCTTCATTATGATTTATGCAAATTAGATGCCTGTATTTACATATTTATTAATATTCTGTTTAAAAAATGGGGTATGAAGGTCAATCTTTTGAGAGAAAAAAATCAGAGTTTTATAGCAGATGAAATTGTATCAACAAAAATTCAAATTTCAAATGAATTATTTAAATCAATTCAAAATTAAAATTAATTATTCTTTTCATTTTGAGATTCACCATTGAGAAAAGAAACTTGCTGGTTGATTTCCTTAACCACTTTAGAGAAAGATAGCCAATACATGGGTAGAAATAAGAGTAGAAATAAAATTAGAAATAGCAATAGAAAACATACGAAAGGGGTGAGGAAAATTAAAATCATGGTAAATGAGTAAAGTTGATCCAAATTTGGAGTAAAGGTCATAAGTGACCAGAAGACGTTTTATTTGCTATATATATATTTAGTCTTTGATTAACCTTTGAGGTTAGTTCAACCTAAAATGGTTCACATTGGAACACCTGCAGTGGAGAAAGTTGCATTGTTTGATTATATTTATGACTAATAATGGAGGCTCCATATGGTAATAGTCATTTGTCAGTGCTTATTTGCTTTATTGTCTCAAGGATTGTTTTTTTGAGGATACAATACACAGGAAAGGTTACGTCCATGCAGTGGTGCATCAAAAAAATACAATACAATTGGGAATTACCAAGAAGGATACTGCAATTATCAGGAAAGGAAATGCCCAGTCAGATATATAAGTGCAAATCTTGTAGTTCCCCATCTCTTTTCAAAGCTGTTGTTGTGATAGGGAAGATACAAAAAACTCTTTTTAATACCAGGATAGAATACAGACACATGACCAAAACTTGATCAAAAGATGTACAGTGGATAACTTGAGATGTGAAGAAGAAAAAATATTCATTATATCATAAAAATGCTTTGAATCCAAGGACACATGTGATGTATCATTATCATAGTACTGTAGTTGTATCACTGAATTGAAAGAGAAAAACTGCCTTAATAATGATTCTGCATTTTATTTGTATATAACTGTTATGCATTCTAAATATACTTATTTGCAGTAAAAAGTCAATTTCCATTCATTATCTGTGATTAAGCAAATTGTTATTTCTGCAATGAATTTGAGGTCTGTTGCTTCAGGAAATGATTTAATTTGCCTGACACAGCTGTGGGTTTTGTGGGTTCCTTATCCCTCTGGCTCCAGTGTCTCATAGTTTGTCATTGATTAATGAAGCAGAACTGATCCTTTAAACCCACCTGTCATTGAACCTGACTACCACCCTCCACACCCCAACGCCCCTCAAAGCTACCCCCATACCACTCTACTCTTCTCTCTTATTAACCTTTCATTTGCATGACAAGGGCTTGGATGAGCAGCCATGCGTGTCTCACCGCAGATGTGTGTGTGTGTGAATTGCTCCCTGCCATATGTGATGATACCACAAGTATTATTCTTTGGTTGTGATCTCTTATTCCTTGTGTCATTTTCTTTTCTCTTCTCCCCCTCATTATTGTCATTTGACCCACTTCTGTTGACAATCGGTGCCTAGACTCGCGCATGCTGCCTAAAAATGGCGCATCAGTTTGAAAGATAAGGATCTTGTCTTTCTCAATACACTTACATTCATCGCAATCCCTGTGTGCTTGCCGCCTGCTTACAGAATATAATGTGCAGAACAGCATATCCCGACCCTGAAGGCTAGCTACTTCTCATAAAAGAAACACCTTGTGTTCACAGATTGGCACAAACTGTGAGAAAATGACAACCTTGAATGATAGATTGAAATATTTCATTCATAGTCATCAAGGCTACAGTGTTTTTGTAGTAAATAGTTGCCTTGCCAATTGGAGAGTGTAGCTTTATGGAGAAAGATGTAAAAGCCTTCAGTCCTCCAAAGCTCTTATCACAACCCTTGCTTGAATTCATATGGTGTGTGAGAAAATGAGATTTTGAGTGTGATACTAATCTAGATTAACATCTAGATTAATATCATCCATCTGTCCAGGAGATTGAACTAATCAATGACACATCAAAGAAGATAAACCGACCAGAGATCATACTGATGGGAAAATGGGTGTTCATCTTCATTCACTCTTAATGTTTCTATATCTTTCCCATGGTATTAGGAGAGATACGCATCTAATCAAACCCTAATTTATCTATTTTTGTATCAATTTCTTGCCATGAGGCTAAAAAGCAGAGATAAAGACCATTAGGGAGTTTGAATCCATTTTTTCTCAAGCGAGGTACTTTGTATCGGGTAACTGTCCGTTATACTCTAAGAGTATATAAACTTACAGGAGAAGGTCGTAGCAAACTGTAGAAATAAAGTAAAATACAGTCGTCTGTACTAGTATCCAGCAGCTCAAGCAAAGCTTTCATACCAGTTGGTCACAATAGTACATGATCATACTCTTCAGTTAAATTAGGGATTAATGTTTCAAATGCAAGGATGAAAGATAACTAGAGCATGCAAAGCAAAGATCAGGAGTTTAATTAGAAATGTAATTTAAAAGGGGAAAATAAAAAGAAATAGAACAAATAGTCTGATAGATGATCGTAAAATATAACAAAAATCCAAATGTCACATTCCAAAATTTGTCTCTTTTATTCTAAAACTAAATTTAGATTCACAAATCCTCTATCAAATCAAAATTTGTCTACCTTCTTAGAGAATATGTAACAACTCTGATTTTTTTTCTTCTTCTGGATATTCTCCCATTTCTGTGCAGGTTACACCACAAGTTTGGAAGCTGAAGTATCTCTCATCAGGTACAACTACACAAGCATGATTTGATATCATCTCAGATTAAAGAATGTATACCTGATACCAAAGGAAATGATATATGAATGTTCAATGAAGCATGAAGGGTTTTAACAATGTAGGTGTTGACTATCTGGAACACCAAAAGAAGCTTAAGAAAATGGTAAATATCAGGATTGTTTTCCATAAAACATGGCTTTACACTAAATCAAATAATGGGTTGCCAAATTAAACAACCAACATGTGCCTAAATTAGAGGCAAGGGGGTGGGGAAAGGGTAGGGTTGTTAGAAAAAAAAAGTGTTTTTTTTTTTTTTTACTCATTTAAATTGTTTGATAAATCTCACTTTTAAATGCTGTAGATTCATTGACTTACTACATAATCACTTGTAGCCCCCCCCCCCCCATTATTTCTTGGAGTGATGTTAAAGTATCAAATGCATACATGTTCTTTTATAAAAGGTTGTCTTACTTTTTTTTCAAAGGAGAATCAAGCAGCTCCTTTTCACCCAGAGTTATTAGGAACTTAAAATCACATGTCTGATATTGTTATTATTTTTATTATTATTATTTTTTTTTTGGGGGGGGGGAGGGGTTGAGATAACACTAAAGTATTGTTATCAAATTGCATTGTATCCCCATGAGTGGTATTATACCAGAAAGTGTGCAGTAGAAATATGTGTGATTATTATATTATTATTATCATTATTATTATTATCATTATTATTATTATTATTGTTATCATTATTATTATTATCATTATTATTATAAGGTTAATATTAAGACATGCTCCTTGGGAAAGCATTTTGGAAATTATATTGTAGCAGGAAATATATGAACAGAGTTTAGCTTAATGGACACCTCACCCCATGAAATTACTTTAGTTATTCTGAGATATTTATTGTATTATCATAATGTACAGTTTCTCAGCACGACATGTTCATCACAATTTTCTTGAAAAGTGTTCAAATTTCTCGATGCTTCCTTCCCACGTGTGTATGGTAATGATGTGTTTCATTCACATGCTATTATCTTATGCAATATGTACTATAATTATCAGAACGCAAACTTGTTTGCAAAAGTTGTCGCTCTTCTGGGGAGAAGGTTTCACATTAATGAAATAGATTTGTCAACAGCTATATTTCTCATACCGGTATCTTGAATAAATGACTTGTAATTGTTTCCCTGTTATATATTTCACACCAAGTCTAATTTCTACGTTCTCACCTATGAGAATCCTCATTGAAAAGTAAGGGTTTTATTTTATTAATTAAAAAGCCTTTTCAACTAAAGCTTGGTGCATGAAACATGTACAAGTTTGCCTGGTATGTCACATTATCAAGAAAATGGCTGTGTCCATGTCATGCTAAACGTCATTACATCATGCCAAGAATATCTTCATTTATATATCTCTTGTACATTTTCGTAAGGAATATTGTACATAAATAGGAAGGAATAAATCTCATCTTTCAGCATACCTACACCTGTTTTCCAGGGTGAGGTTTCCTTTAAATGTATTATCTCATGTTACCTGTGCATTTCTGAGTTTAAAGAGACATACAATTTACACGAAGGAAAAACTTCTAGTTCTACTTACATGTAAATCATTTCATGGGCAATAGTAAAATGATTTGTACTACCGTTATATTGTATCAGGTGTGCCTCGTGGTAGTGCTATCTACTTGTATATACATGTATATGTCTTCCATTTAAAGAAAATGAAAATGTAAAAATGTTCAGTGTCTAGAACTCTAATTTTTGAAAGAACTAGAAGAAAAAAAGAAAGAAACTGAATGTTCTTGTCATACATATTCGGATGTTTGTGAAATGGATTTAGCTAAGACAGTAACATCATCATTTGGTCTAAACTGCTGAATTTCTAAGGTATGGATGTAATGTATAACATGTGTTTCAAATAGTAGTGACATCTAGGTGCAGTACTTTGTAGTTGGCTTTGCTGTGTGAAGAACATAATAGTGCAAGGTAATGATATATAAGTACTGATATAATATCCAAGATACTCATTTGTGACAGCTTCATGTCTTGAGTATTAAAATATGCTATGCTTTTGTTTGCTATTGTTAATGTGACAGTATAAAACAGTTAAAACATTTATTGATTTGCAATAGAAGTGTTGTCGGGTAAAACTCAATTTAGTGTGTATGTATGCATATCTTGCCAGATCCTACTAGACAGCTGAAATAATGATTATTTTTGTTTATTTATTGTTCAAAATGGAAAGAAAATTATAGATATGCTATTTTATTTTGCTCAGAATTTATGCATGAATTATTAAAGCCTCAGGGTTGTGGAATGAAATAAAGTAAAGATATTTATGGTTTCGCAAATAATAATGCCTCATTTTTCTCCTTTTCTGTCTTATTGTGAGTCAATTGTATTTTATTGTAGTTCATGTACTTTTTGCACACTTGGAATGTATATGTTATACTCGTAAATAACTATGTTTTCTTTCCGTTGTTCTCTCAAATTCAGAGAGGGAGTCGATATAGTTGATTATTACTATGATACACTATGAAAAAGGGTATTAAAATGCACAACAGTATGCAAAGAGATAGGTGAACGTAGAGAGAGCAGGAATTAAGGTAGACATAGGTAATCGAAGAGAGAGAGAGAGAGAGAGAGAGGGGGGGGGGGTTGGGGGAAGAAGGTTTTGGAATTGAAGGTGAAGAGACAAAGGGAGATAGAAACAGAAGTGTGAGAGGCAACTTTTCTTGAAGCAGCCAAGAGAAAAGAACAGTATAGTGCCCAATGAGCAAGGAGAGGTGACATCTCATAGAGAAAGGAGATAAAAAACTAATTGGTAGCAGGGCAGGGGCATATACATGAAGACGTGCATAAATCACCTTTAGAACGAGCATGTCTTGGTCAAGTATGATTAGTTCATATTTCTCGCCTGAAAGAATCTTGCCCGGCAATTAAGCCTGGAACTTCTGGTTTGGGACACCCGTCCTTCACCTCTGTCCATAGTTTACGGAAAGCCGTGAATTAAATTAAAGATATTTGGGTTAAGAAAACGAAGTTTGTTAGACACTGTTTACATCTTCATATAAACACTTCAATAACCAACCTTGAACTTCGACAGAACTTGGAATGGTAAGGTTCAACTGTCCACAGACGTGGTCGTTAATGTGTCACTTAGAGATTATCCACACACACCCTCCATCAACCATGTCTACAAGACGTGAAAGTGATATAGCGTCCTCAATCTTCACTAATTATGTTATGTTCGTTTTACACATAATGCTCAATCCCACACTGCTTTATTTATTAAAAGTGTAAGACGCAAATCTACATGGGGGCACAGAGGGGGTGGGTAGAGAAAAGGAATATAAAACGCTAAGACCCCTCTTCTATACCCTACACATCATTTTTGATCTTGCTATTAAAATTGAGATTTCATTCACCGAGAATGACCGATGCCGCCCCCATCCCGGTGCTCCCTCAACTATACGCCTCTGTCTCGTTTAAAGAATTAATTATTGTCTAATCTGGAGATTATAACATTTGTCGAAACACTTTATATTTAGTGGACCTAGGGGTACCATTTCGACGAGCATTGACGTTTCTTGCCCGGATTTCAACTTACAAAATTTCTAAAATTTTCGAGCGAATGAAGCGAAGAAAAAAAAATCACTTTATTATGGCGACAATGTAAGATTGTCATCAAATTATACAAAAGAGGAAATCAAAAAAGTACAAAGAGACCACCTCGCTGCCTGATTATGGGGAGACTGGTGCCCCTAAATGAGATGATGACTACCCAGGGGAATGCCGCCCCCAATGAAATCCCCTTAGTTAATGTCTCCAGCTATTGAGTAAATTTTGTAAGCAAGTTACCTCCATTTCATGTTGTTATCAAATTCCTTCTTAGGACATTTTACAACTATAATTATGCATAATTATGTAGGCGTAATGGGCCGTATACATGTGTATGCATGAACATAATTATATCTATTAATTGTGCTAGTCTTTTGCTTGAATCCGTATGCATTAACATAAGCAATTGCTTGCATGCAAAATCGTTTGCTAGGAAGCACAAGCAATTGCTTTGTAACGATCAAGCAAATGCTTAAAGACGTATGGATAAAACGAAACTTTTGTTCGTAAAAGCATTTGTTCCCTTTTTTAAAGCTCCGTCATATGAACTTGAACTCTTGCTTAATCGGCGGACGTTCGTGTTTAAGCACTATGTTCATGCACGTAAGAAAAAAAACCAAAGTTGTACTGGAGTAGAATCAAACAAGAAGATAATTTTTATGCATACCGGCCAATTATTTTCCTAAATCAAGATTTGTCGATTAATAAAGATAATAATACCCAAATCAAACAAAGGAAAAAATCTGTTACTATTATGATTTTGTCACGCGTACCAAAATGAAATAACTGACGTAAGCCCCCCTTTTCTAATCCAATACCTATCATGTTCATTAATGTTTTATTTTTGGCGATTTCCTTATAACTTGTCTATTGTTTTTCTGCTTACAGGTGTGTGGGTTAATGAACTTTGATTAGGTAGTATCCCAAAAATTGGTTTCCATATTCGAACTTTCAACATATGTATTTATAGCAAAATAGATTAAGAGCCTGATTGGATAACAATATTGTTGGTTTTGGCTGACTTCCATCTCAATAAAGTTACTATTAAATGTGTTTAATGAGGCATATGATACATTATAACGCTATTTCACCCACCATAATCAGCTCATCAATTCAAGTAGGTCTTTTGTGTAGGGCTCGTAAGCTTGATAAAAGAAATAGTTTAATAGACCTAGAAGAAGATAAAAAAATATCCCGTTTCCCCTTCCTCCCTCTTCCCCTTCCTCCATCTACCTCCCCTACCCCTACCCCTCCTCTCTCTCTCTCTCTCTCTCTCTCTCTCTCTCTCTCTCTTTCTCTCAATAATGTTTGGCCAATAGGAATACTATAATGCTGAAGGATTCTCAAATTATGAGCCCATAGCACTGCGAGAAAATGGGTGTGTCCCAGAGAGGCGGGAATAGGGTACATTGGAATTCCTATATACAGGAACGGGCGACATAATGACAGTTGTTAGGGGTGGAGGGAGCAGCCTACCAGCGAAGCGAGGCAACTCGTGAGAATGTTATTATTCCAAATATTACACGTTTGATTACATGGATGAACACGCAGAAAGTTGGAGTATGATTAATGACAAACGAGCCATGAGCTTGACAGCATTTATCCTCATCTATCTGCGATATTTTAAGGCAAAGAATTTGACTGCGACAAAATGTTCAGTGAGGGGCATAAGGTCAAAATGGTCTCGATGAATCGAAATTAAATCGCTTTCGGAAGATTTTGCGAAGAATAAAACATTCAATTTGCTAAAATAAAGATATGGCGCCTTTTTCATATCATTTTACTTTGTCAAATAAGGTTTACAATCTTTACATGATCGTGTAAACTTTCTCATACAGGTCTACAAGATAAAGGCTAAATGGAACCCCACCCCATTTAGTTGGGCCTGGGCCAGCCGAGACCTTCCATCTGTCAGTTAACCATTTGTCAGTGTTAAACCCAGTTCACAGCTCGCCT